ATTCTTTTATTGACTATGAAGGCTACTCCATTTCTTCTGAGGGATTCTTGCCCACAGTAGTATACCTGATGGTCATCTGAGTTAAATTCACCCATTCCTGTCATTTTAGTTCGCTGATTCCTAAGATATCGATGTTCAGTCTTGTCATCTCTTTTTTGACTACGTCTAGCTTGCCTTGATTCATGGATCTTACATTCCAGGTTACTATGGAGAAAAAATCTTTACAGCATTGGACTTTCCTTTCACCACCAGATATATCCACAGCTGAGCGTCCTTTCGGCTTTGGCCCAGTCGCTTCATTCTTTCTGGCATTACTAGTACTAGCCCCCTGCTCTTCCCCAGTAGCATATTGGACACCTTCCGACCTGAGGGGCTCAGCTTCCAGCGTCATCATATTCTTTTGCCGATGTCAGAATCCAATTATATTTCATTCTTAATTATCAAATATAGAAACTCCCAATTCTGCCTTCTTAGATTCTGCCATACAGAGAGCGAAGGGAGAACAAAGGGGCTTTATGGCCCTCACTTCCTTCAGTATACTTCTAAGGAGCTGAATGCTGAATGTGTGGTTATTGTAACCTCAAAGCGTTAGCACCAAAGAACCTTACCATAACAAAGAAGGTTATTTGCCTTTCATGTAGTTTATCTGAAGTCTCCATCCAGACGCAAGAAAGAAAAAAGGGGGTGGAATTGTGATGCCTGAAACTATCACTGGAAGGGGGGTTGATTGGGTGGGACTACTGGGGAACCCCTTAAAACCTTGAATGGGAGGGCTTGGACCCCAAGTCCTGTCTAGCACGCCTGCAACCACTTCTTCTTAATAAAGGATTCCTGTTGGAAGAATTATTCCAAGAGTTCTGTCTTCTCAAGATGCAAAGTGGGGTGGGTCCTTACATTAGACAGGACTTGCAAAATTAATCCACCTGGAAGGGAGACCCTTGCCGGGGGATTTTGCAAAAAATTACCATGTCAGACAATGGAGCAAGAGAGGGGGAAAACTCCCTGGAAAGAGAGCCGCTGACCCAGTTGGAACCTTGCCAGATGTTGGGATCCGAGAGGTCAGATTCCTCAGGAGAAGAAGTGGTGGAGACACGGGACCACAAGCCTCGCTGGTCAATGGGCGTTGGAAAGAAAAGTAAGTGGGGAAAGGAATCAAGAAAGGTGACCCTGAGATGGGGGACCAAGCAATCAGAATGGAAGCAGGAGATGGAGAAATCCCTGCACGCAAGTGAAGAGGGAGGAAGCTGGGCACCGTACTCAGACTGGATCCTAGAGAAAGCTATTGACCTGATGAAGAGAACTCTCAGCTCCCTAGGAGAGGAGAATCCTGAGCCCTACGGCCGCCCCAGCTCCTGGAGCCGCAAAGGGAGAGACACCGAGGGGGACGTGGAACCTGCAACCCCGGGGACATCTACTGATCCAGTAGCCCCCACCCCCTACCGGACCACAGATGGCAATCTGGACGGAAGACACTACCACCAACAACGGAGGCACCGATCCAGTCCAAGACGTCCACCGTTGGAGGTGAAATTCAAAGGGGAGCCAACACGCTTGGGGTTTTTCCTAACCCAAGTCCTCAGCTACATGGAGGAATATGGGCAGGACATTCCCAGCGACAAAGCCCGCATCCGGATCGTGCAATCTGCCCTGGATGGACTGGCTGCAGATTGGGTGGGAACTTGCATGACTCCAATGCCCAAGAACTCAGTAACTTCAACCGTTCATGTCCTCTTTGAGAAGACGATTTGAAGACCCCCTGGCTGATCGCAAAGCCCGTGAAAGGATAAAAACGATGAGGCAAGGCAAACGCCCAGTGGCCTGAGTATACACAAGAATTCCGGGCCATTGCCAGCAAACTGAATTGGCCAGAAGACATCCTCCTTGGCCATTTCAAAGACGGACTAAACTATGATCTATATGATGCTTGCCTGCCCCGAGGGGACCCACATCGACTTGAGGAATGGTACGTCTTGGCAGAGGAAGCAGAGATCGACATATTGAAGAGGCACCGCCGAGAAAAACAATGGAGCCGCCCCCCGCCTGAGCTGACACACGAACCGGTGAAATCATCGGCTACAGCCAAGAAGCAAATGGGGTGTTTCAAGTGCGGAAGAGAAGGGCATCGAGCTGTAGAATGCCGCTCAAAGGCCCCCCAGCACAACCCAGACAGATCCCCAATCAACAAATCCGGAAAGTCTTCAGCTAAGCCAAAAGAAACGGCCATGAGAATGATGGAAATTGCAGAAACCCCCACCTCTGCTCACCAAGGGGAAAGAACTCCAGCCTACACCACAGGGCCGGTGGATGCCTCAGATGACAGCTCGGAGGGCGAACCCCTGGTAAGTGGATGCATCACACCCATCTTCAAAACAGTGACTATATTAATCCCCCCCATGCCCGAAGCTGTGAAGGTGAAAGCCTTAATAGACTCTGGCTGCACCCGCTGCCTCATTAGCCCAACACTAGTGGGGAATCTGGGCATCCCATCCAGGAGACTGGAACAACCAATCTCATTTGGCCAGTTAGATGGATCCATAGCGGGGGGGGGGGCAGCTACCCTAGCCACTCTACCAATACACCTCTCCCTGGGCAAACATGAAGGGGACATAACGTTTGTGGTGACCCCAGGTATGGAATGCCCAATGATTCTAGGGATGGAATGGTTGAAAAAATGGAACCCCTATGGACTTAAAACCAAGGGAGGCTACCAGAATCAAGAATAGAAAAAGCATCCATAGGAGAGGAAAAAAGATTAACAGAAATACCAGAGGAATATAGGGACCTTGCTGAAGTCTTCAGTGAGGAGAGGGCGAATGAGCTTCCCCCCCACCGACCCACAGACTGTACCATTGAATTCAAGCCTGGGGCAAAACTCCCGAAGCCCAGATTATACTCCATGAGCCCAAAGGAGAAGGAGGAAATGGAAAGATTTATAAAAAAAAACCTAGAGAGAGGTTTCATTGAGCCAGCCAAGCCTAAAGTGGCTGCCCCGGTCCTTTTTAGAGAGAAGAAGGATGGCTCTTACGTTTATGCGTGGATTATAGGGCCTTGAATACAATCAGTGAAAGCAACCTATACCCTCTGCCCCTCATGAAAGACATGCTGTCACACCTATCGAAAGGGAAAATTTTTTCTAAACTAGACCTAAGGGAAGCTTACTATCGCGTGAGAATCAAGGAAGGGGACGAATGGAAGACTGCATTTAACTGCCCCATGGGGTGCTATCAATTCAAAGTCTTGCCATTTGGATTACAAGGGGGCCCTGCAGTCTTTATGCAATAATCAATGACGTTCTAAGGAAGCACCTGTTTAAGGGGGTCCTTGTTTACTTGGACGACATTCTTATCTTTACTGAAACAAAAGAGGAACACGTTAACCTTGTCAGAGCGGTTTTAAAGAAGCTGCGAGCCGCCCACCTATATGCCAAACTCTCAAAATGCGAATTCCACCAGGAAAGGATAGACTACCTAGGCTATCGCATATCCCCACAGGGCATTGAAATGGACCCAGAGAAGGTCAAAGCAGTATTAGATTGGGCGCCACCCCGCACAAGAAAGCAACTACAAAGTTTCCTGGGCTTTGCAAACTTTTACCGCCAATTCATCCCCTCATTTGCCCAGATAGCCTTGCCCCTCACTAACTTACTAAAAACGAAGGGAGCATCCTCAGTAAAACCTAGCCAGCCACTAACATGGACAATGGAGTGCCAAGCAGCGTTTGAGAGACTAAAGAGACTTTTTTCTGCCGAACCAATACTAAGGCACCCAGACATGGACAAGCCCTTCGTAATACAGGCAGATGCAAGTGATGTGGCAGTGGGGGCTGTGCTATTACAAGAAAATGATGATGCAGTATTGCAACCCTGTGCATATACATCCAAGAAACTCACGGAAACAGAACATAAAGGATTCCTGTTGGAAGAATTATTCCAAGAGTTCTGTCTTCTTAAGATGCAAAGTGGGGTGGGTCCTTACAGCCTTTTAGTACTGTCCATGGGGTTTTCATGGCAAAGATACTGGAGTGGTTTGCCATTTCCTTCTCCAGTGGATCACATTTTGTCAGAACTCTCTGCTATACCCTGTCCATCTTGGGTGGCCCTGCATGGCATAGCTTATAGCTTCATTGAGTTACGCAAGCCCCTTCGCCACGACAAGGCAGTAATCCATAAAGGGGGGATTTAGATGACTAGGATGTTAAAAAATGTATCAGCGAGAAGGTTGCTGATAGTGTCCTGAAGTAAAGATTCCCAATAGTAGGAAAATTTTCTGTCTACATGTTCTATAGAGCAGCAGGTTTACAAGTAGAACATTAGAGGTATTTTTATTTTAAGTAAATTACAGTAATCCCCTCCCCCCTCAACATTTAGCTTTCAAAGCTAGCTAGCAATGCGCTATCTTTTAGATCCAGATTAGATTCAAATTGGTTTCAAATTCGCAAAGCCCTTGTGTGGAGGTCCCCCATTTTAAAACAAAATAGTTTGATTTCCCCAGCTTTTGCTTGCACCTCCATGAAAGAAAACCTGCAGAAGGAAAAGAAGTCCATCCTGAAGATAAATTCAGAAATAATTTAGTAATGCTCTTTAGGCAGTTAGGCTCATGCTGTGAAATTTGAAGCAGCAAACTCAAGGTATTGTTCTCAGTATGTATTAAAAATATGAGGATTTTGGCTAGGTAGAACTAAATTCTTTTCTTATTAGAGAAACGTTCTTGACTTTTCCTGGTTTCTAGGCCAGCACCTTAACACAGTTATCTCATCTACTCTGGCCGTCAGTCTTTTCTCTTTTTTTTTGCTTTAGCTAGCAACAGCTTTAAGGTTGATCCTGATAGCAGGATTACGTGTTCTGGCTGTTGTTAGTTTGCTCCAAGATAAGTGAATATTGTTCTAGAAATGTCTCTTGCTGATCCCATATTCCACACTTGTGTTATTTTTTGTCTGAATTGCAACTTCATGTGGTAGCTGGCTAATATAATCATTGTCCTGATGTGTTTGTGCCTTTTTAGATGTCTCCAGTGGTTATCGCATTGGTGTCCGATGGGAGTCGATGCCTTCTTGTACGGCAGGCATCATTTCCTAAAGGGATGTACAGTGCTTTGGCTGGCTTCTGTGACGTGGGTAAGAAGCATGTCCACAGTACGTGTTTTAATGATAGCCTCTGAAATGTAACTTCAGAGCGGTAACCCACTCAAAGCAGAGATGATATATGAGCCTTAACTAACTAGCTCATTATGTTGCATGTAATTGTCATATTGTTCAAACTTGGTCAAACAAGTTAATGGATGTATTGTGTTTGTTCTGAAATGAATCTAAGAAAAGGAGGAAATTAAGTCAGCACATCAAGTATCTTAATAAATTTAGAACTTTTGTGTTAGATTAGCCTACTTCAATCTGATGCCCTTCAGATTTGATAGGCCTGCCGCTTGCAGTTGTAACACAGGTTGAGATCAAATTGGCTAGGAATTATGGGATTTCAATCCCATTATATGGATTGTGTCTGTCTCAATATATCTTCAGGTCATTTGATTGGGGAGATACGTTTTATTTTAGCCACTGATTTTTAATAATTATTTAGCCTAGGAAGTAGGCATGATGTGGTTTGTTTGGTCTTGGCCTAGTATGTTTTCTCTGCCCAGTATTTATGGTTTGCAAACCATGATTTCTGGTATAGTATATTGTATGAACCCAGCTTTTTTGATGTTTCAAGACACCAGAATTATTCTCCAAAAATAACTAGCCAATGGAGTGAGGTCTGTATGAATTTAAAGATACTGTAATCTAAATTGTCAACTCTTTGATACAGCCTGCATTTATGCAACATGTATAACTTGGTTGCTGAATTAATTTGTTTTTTGACTTTGCTTTAAAATATTGATTCATAAATTTACCAAATACAGTGAATTTTGCTAAAGTAAAAATCTAACCATTACTTAATCCTGATCAGTTTAGTATGCTGTGTCATAGTATCTGCCAGATCTTTACCTAATCTGTTTAAGTTTGTGAATATAAAATTCGAATTATGTGTTTGGTAAATTGAGGAAATCCTCTTTTATGACTCAAACCAAGCATCTTCTGTTAGAACAACAGAAAAGGACAATAATTGACAAGTTTACATTAATTATAAAAATAAAAGGCAATATTTTTGTAAAAAAAATACTGGCTTTTAACTGCCATAAAACTGGCAGTGTTATTAGATAAATTTCTAGAAATTTAATTTAAAACATTTATACAGTATAGCTAGTTATTTTAAAACAACCCTGTGTGGCTTACATGTAAACAGTTCATTAAGTATTTTTCTAGTTGGCTTTTCTGCTGACGTGCAAAAGCTAGCCTAAATGGCATTAAAAAAAGAAAAAAAATGAAATACATTTTCTGAAATAAAGCAAAGTAATGGCACTTTGGTATTTTTAAGGTAGTTGGTGGCAGATAAACTCTTTAAGTATCATCATGATCATGCTTTCATGAAATTTTGATGACTGTTGGCATATGGATAATACTTGGTAAAAATGTCAACTCTACTATCAGTATATCATAATCCAGTTTTTAAAAAAACCCTGATACTCTATTTTCATATGTTAGAAAGAGATTTTGTATATACGCTATCAATGTTAAAGAAAGATACAAAGATATTGGGTATGAGGATATCCTTCATTTTGTTTTCTGCCTTCAGGTGAGAGTCTAGAAGAGACAGTCCAACGTGAGGTTGCTGAAGAAATAGGCTTAGAGGTGAAATCTCTCTGGTATTCTGCATCTCAGCACTGGCCATTCCCAAATAGCATCCTCATGATAGCTTGTCATGCATTAGTGCATCCCCTACAGAGCAATGTAAGAAGGCTGCTAGAATCCTACTCTGATTTTATTTGATACTTAGTTTATGAATGAGAACCTAACTTTTCTTGAACTCAGCTTTCCCCAATTTGATGCCTTTCAGATACAATATGTTGGACAACTATTCCAATAACTTTCTGGAATTTCTGAATGTTATAATTCTATGCATTTTGAGGGCACTGAGTTCCACACTAACTGACATAATCACTGATTCTTTTCTAGCCATGCTGCCTGGTGAGCATATGATTGTAATAGTCATGGATAGCTATTAAATTATATCATGAGCCAAATATTTCCTTGACAAGATACTTAATGTACATATCTTACTCTGTAGCCTCTGCAGTATTTTTCTAAAGCAAGTTATAGGCTGTTCTTTCACTGCATGTGGGGAAAGTAGCTTGGTGCAATAAAGTCTTGCTGAACCTATGATGAAGAAGTGATTTGAACTGAAGCAGCATTGTGTTGCTACTCAGTTTTAGTTGTAGCTATGGCTAATGCACTAATACACCTTCACTATAAGATGACAATTTAAAAAAAATGCTTTGATTTTCAATTATTTCATTTGCAGTGTACAATCAATACTCAGGAGCTTGAATCTGCCAGATGGTTCAGCCACGAGGAAGTGGTGAAGGCACTTGAACAGGAATCATGGCCTTCTAAAGAAACGGATGAAAGAACCTCTTTTTGGGTGCCACCTAAACAAGCTATAGCTCGACGGTTAATCCAAGAATGGGTGAAGCAGAAAACGTCTCCTTAGTTTTAAAAAATGTGCAGGGGGGGAGGATGATGGTAACTTTATAACTGATGTCTTTTTTGCAGTGGTCCTCCATATTTTGTGGAGTAAGTATTGGTAAACCATATTAGATCTTTTGACATGTTGTCTTGAAAATTCACTGCTGTAGAAATCATTGAATTGGTTTGGAACAAGAAGTTGATATTCCCATATAGTAATAATATTAGCAAAACCAATCTAAACTTCTATTCCTGTTGGAAACTAATAAAATTTGGGAGTATTCTTGGGATTTCTTAGTAAAGCCATTTGTGGGCAAATCTGGGCCTTGAATTACTTGCTTGTCGTTGGAAGCATCCTGACCATGCCACCAGTTGGAGTTGGGAGTAGAGTTAAAATTCTTGACCACCAGGAGACTGTGACCAATTTTGTCCTTATTGGGATTCATCAGGTCCACATAGCCATTATAGTTAGTACTCTTACATGGTTGACTCTCCTCTATCCGTTTGACTTCTCTTCCCTCTTTTTAAACAGATTGCCTCCTGTCTCTAAAAATAATGCAATTGTTTGCTAAATATACATGTTCCCCAACCAAAGTTCTGTTCTCTCATTCTTCCTGTGAGAATTTGTGTGAACTTAAAGGATTCTTATCATTTATATTTGAAAAGTTCCTAATTATACACACAAAAGCAAAAAGGGAAAAAGCAAGCCGAGGATTGGGGTGGGTGTTAAATTTACCCAACATACTTGACTGGGTGAGCTAAAGATGTAAAGACTGCTTTCAGCTAACCTGCTAATTCTGCTTAGTTTTAACCTTTAATTTGTTTTTGGTTTGACTTGTGGGCAGGGGCTAAAAGCAGCTCATTCGGGTAGGTTATTTTATATAAAAATAATAAATGATTTAGTTCAGTAACCAGGTTAAAGTTGTGTGAATTCAGGCAGAATATTGATTTGGTGTATTATATGGAGTTTACTGGAGCTTATGTGTTTTGGAGTATAGATCCTAACACTCTCTTATACAAGTAGTTCACTACTTACTACTGGTTGCTTAGTAATTGTCTGAAGTTCCAATGGACCGCCACAGGGTTACTTACGACTCAGATTCAAAGTTCCAACCACTGCCCCCATCCCTGCAGTCACATCACATTTTGGGCTTTTGGCAACTAGCATTTATGGCAATTTGCAGCTTTCTGAAGTAACATGACCATGATTTGTGATACGTTTTGCCAGAAACTGGCATTTTACTTCCAGTTTCCTGCAAAAAACTTCCATGGCAGACAATGGATTTGCTCAATGGCAGCGGTGTTCATTTAATGGCTGTGATGATTTACTCAACAACTCCTACAAAAAAAAGTAAAATTGGGCCAGGTCATATGAGGACCCAGGTATCACCAGCACAGTAATTTGTAATTTGGGTTTCAATTATAATAAATTGAGGACCTTCTGTATTCTAAGGGCTGAAGGCTTTATTGTTTTTTGGTCTCACTATTTTGTTTTCTGTGAAATATATGAACTGTAGAAGCAGAAATCTCAGTTGGAATGTTTATATTTGGGGTTCAAATAGCAATAGTGCTTAGATTTATATATCGCTCCATTCTGCTTTCTCTGGGCAGTTTACAAAGTCAGTATATTGCCCCCAACAAATCTGGGTCCTGATTTTACCAACCTTGGAAGGATGGAAGGCTGAGTCAACCTTGAGCAGATCAGGATCGAACTCCAGGCTTTGGGCAGTGTTTGCCTACAATACTGTATTCTAACCACTACGCAACCACAGCTCTTGTAATGGTTTTGTAAAATTGCGATGCTTCTAATTTAGCAAAACAAAATATTTACTAAAAGTGTCAGTTACATGCTTCCGCCAGTGGTGCAGCTGTTGTGGTCTGTGCGCTGCTGCTTCCCCCCCTCCCTTGAATGTCAAGTCCAGGGGCTCAACAGGCGGCTCCCTCTACCAGAGCTCCACCTGGAAGACAAGGACAAACATGTAAGCACTTACTATTGCAGACTGTTCAGCTGACCTCCCACCTGGCTTACTAGGGCACTGTCGATGGAACCTCCACATTAGTCGGCATGGATGTCTGATTCCCCTACCCAGGACGCCTCTGTGATAGGATACCTCATCCATAATACTAGGTACTGTAATTGTCCCTGTTGGATCCAGGAGTCCAGAATCTCCTGTACCTTGTACTGGTCCCCCTCGACAGGCCCTGGTGCCTCTCCCATGGGCTCACAGGAGGAACTCTCCACCAGCTTCAACAAGCTACAGTGAAAGACCGGGTGTATCTTCCCCAAGAACCGGGGTAGCTGTAACTGTATGGTCACTGGGTTGATGACCTGTGTGACCTGGAATGGCCCTAGGTACTTGGGACCTAGCTTTTTACAGGGTACCCTCAGTCATAGATATTTCATCAACAGATACACCCGTTCGCCCACCCGAAGAGGCTTTTGGGGCCTTCGCTTCTTGTTGGCCTGTGCTTTAGTGCTCTCCTTTGCTTTCACCAAAGCCCATTTTACATTACGCCCCACACACCCCGATGTGTGTTATCCAATCCTGGGGCTGGCAGGGGAGAGGTCCCCTTGGTTGTACTTGGGGATTGGGATGAAATCCAGGCCGTGCACCACCTGAAAGGGGGCAAACACGGTGCTGCTGTGCACCGCATTGTTGTATGCCACTTCTGCGAATGGCAGTAGGTCAATCCAGCCCGTCTACTGGTACGATACGTAGCTCCATAGGTAGCGCTCCACCATCGTGTTTGCGTATTCTGCTGCTCCGTTGGTGCTAGGTGATACGCCGAACTGAGACCTTGAGATGATCCGATGCACTGAATAAATTCCCTCCAGAATCGAGCCGTGAATTACACCCCCCCAATCTGAGATGATGCATCAGGGCACGCCGTGCAAGCAATACACTTGTGTGATAAAGAGTTTGGCCAGCCTGCAGGCGGACGGCAACCCCTTACATGGGACAAAGTGGGCCTGCTTGGAGAAGAGGTATATGATGGTCCAGATCACGGTATAACCACGACTCTTTGGTAACTCCACAATAAAGTCCATTGCGATGTCCTCCCATGGTCGTGTTGGGTCCGCTACTGATTGTAACAATCCTATAGGCTTCCCTGTATGGGGCTTGGTGGTGGCACAAACATGGCACCTCCGAACGTAAGTTTCTACATCTGCTTTCACGTGCGGCCACCAGAACTGACACCGTACCAGATGTAGGGTTTTAAGGAACCTGAAATGTCCTGCTAGCTTTACATCGTGGCACCATTGTAACACTCCCTGTCGTATAGGGACATACAGATTACCTTTCCACTCTAAATCATCCCTCCGGGTCAGTAGGCCTGGATGTTCCTGTAACCAGGGGTCATCGTGGAGTGCAGCTCCTGGTCCAGGTCAACAGCCAGGTTGTGTGGTATCACCCGTGCTGCTGCTTGCTGGTAGGGAGGCATGATTGCCTGTACCATCTCCTCCTGCTTACTATCGTATTGAGATATCCGCAATAGAGCATCGGTGAGAAGGTTCTTCCCCCTCAGTACATACCTCAACCGGAAATGGAAGCGTTGGAAGTATTGTGCCCAGCAGATATGTTTGGGGGACAAGCGCCTCGGCAACTGCAACACCTTGAGATTCTTATGGTCTGTCCAGACCTCAAACGGTTCCTTCGCCCCCTCTAGTAGGTGTCGCCATGTGGACAATGCCCACCGTACAGCAAATGCCTCCTCCCAAATGGCCTGTGCCCTGTTTCTGTCAGTTTCCATGATGTATAGGCACAAGGCTATAATGCCCCCCTGGCTGTTCTTTTGCAGTAACACTGCTCCCACTGCGACGTCGCTGGCATCGTCCTGTACCACGAATGGCATGTCGGGATTTGGGTGGAGCAAGACCGGCTCCCTCGCAAACAGGACCTTTAGGTCTTCAAAGGCCTTGTGACATGCCAGGGTCCATGCTAGTGGCTGACCCAGCCGTGGCTTTGTCGCAGTTTGTTGTATGTGGAGCAGGTCTGTCGGGTAGAGCTACCACTGCAAATGAACGGATGAACTGCCTATAAAAGTTGGTAAATCCCAGGAAACTGCAGTTGACGGCAGGTCCGTGGCGCTTTCCACTCCACCACAGCCCTGACTTTGTTAGGGTCCATTTCCACCCCTGCCCCCAATATCCTGTAGCCCAGATAGTCCAGCCGGGTTTGGTGGAAGTCACACTTAAGAGACTTTTACAAACAGGTGTGCTTTCAACAGTTTCTCCAGCACCTGTCTTACCAATCAGATGTGTTCTTCCATGGAGACAATGTATATTAGGATGTTCAGGTATATTAGCACACCACTGTACAGGTGTTCGCGCAGCACCTCGGTGAACTGCATAAATACCGCAGGGGCCCCCTGCAACCCAAATGGCATCACCTTGAATGGTAGCTACCAAGTGGACAGTTGAAGGCTGTCTTCCACTCATCCCCCCGTTTGATGCGGACCCTGTAATAACGCCTCTCGTACATCCAGCTTGGTGAACACCTTTCCCATTGCCAGATGGGCTAACAGGTCTTTCATGAGCGGCAGGGGGTACATGTTCTCCACATAAACCCGTCAGCTTTCCTACCGGACCCTTGCAGGAAAAGGAAGACACAGGAACACCTTCATCCAACAAACTCCAGTCTACTTGAGGTAAAGCGATGACATTCACATAGACCTTAGCAATCAGGTTGTATGCTTTACAAAGTTTGCGCTGGGAGCAACTGCTTCCCAGCTGTTTAAATACACTCTTGTAATTACTACCACACCTTTCACCAATTACTACCCCACCCTTCGCCAATTACTACCCCACCCTTCACCAATTAATCCTAAGCCACACACCCCTTACTACTCTGCCTAACAACCTACAACCCCACCCCCGCATCTCCCAACCAGCACTCGGCAGCAATCGGAAACCTCATCCACCTCGGAGGCTTCTCAGGGACGCCCTTGACTTATGCCTAATTGCCGGCTACCGCCCCTCAGCTGTGCACCGGCTCACCGCTCATCAGCTGTTTGGCAGCTTGGCCTTCTACCCAGGTGTGGCTCGCCGCTCATCAGCTTTTTGGCGGCTCAGCCTGCGCGTGCATGGCAGCATCTCTGCGCATGCGCGCCATCTAATGATGTCCGGAGGTGTCCCTTTGCTGCTTCAGAGTTCAGAGCAGCCGCCAGAGGATTTGCAGCTCACTCTCACTTCCAAAATGGTGAGCTGTGCTGGTTCTCCTCTTCCGTCATCAGGCTGTCCCCCTTTTTGTGTGTCGGGCCCGGGAAGGCTTGACAGGCGGCCCTCCTACCAGGTGTCCTCCTGGAAGTAGTCAAAACATATAGTTAGGTCGGGGTTGTGGGTACATTTCTCCTCCCCCCCTGGTTTTTGGGGATATTTACGGTGGTATCTGTGTACTAGTCGAGGGGCATCAATGTCTGCCTCCCTCACCCATGATGCCTCAGACATTGGGTATCCCTTCCACAGTACTAGGTATTGTAACCGACCCCTTTGATACCATGAATCGAGTAATTTCTCAATCTTGTAATGACCTCCCCCGACTTGACCAGGGGGTTGTTGTACCTGCTTAAATGAAGATTTCATTACTGTTTTAGTAACCCACTGAGGAAGACTAGGTACACTTTACCAAGGCTGCGGCGTAATTTTAATTTCACCATCACTGGATTAATAACCCGTTCTATTTTAAAGGGCCCGATATACTTTGGCCCTAGCTTCTTACACGGCCTGCGTAACTTTAAGTATTTAGTGGACAGTTACGTTTCTTCGCTGACTTGAAAGGGTTTTTGTGGACTTCTCTTCTTGTCGGCTTGTCTTTTTGCTGATTGTTCCGCTTTCTGTAGTGCCTTTTTAACTGATTTCCATACGCTTTTAATCTGGAGTATCCAATCGTTCGGTTGTTGTGACCCAATACCTCCCTGAGGTAATTCGGGAATAGGGACAAACTCTATTCCGTGTACCTACTGAAACGGAGTAAACCCTGTGCTGCAATGGAGGGTGTTATTATACGCCACTTCAGCGAATGGTAGAAGATCAGCCCAATTTGTCTGCTGATAATTGATATAACATCTAAGATATCGTTCGACCATCGCGTTGGCCCGTTCAGCTGCTCCGTTCGTGCTGGGGTGGAATGCGGAACTCAGTCCCTGAGATGAACCAATAGATGTGATGAAATTCCTCCAGAATCGGGCGGTGAATTGCACTCCTCGATCTGATATGATGCGATGAGGTACTCCATGTAGGCGATAGACATGTGTTACAAATAGTTTTGCTAAACGTCTCGCTGATGGTAACCCTTTACAGGGGATAAAATGTGCCTGTTTTGAAACAGGTCTATCACCGTCCATATTACTGTATTCCCGTGGCTGGCTGGTAAATCGACTATAAAGTCCATACCAATCTCTTCCCAAGGATGGTTAGGATCGGACACTTGTTGTAGCAGGCCTGA